TCCGATAGGAATGGGGAAGTATGGCTTTGTCCCTCTGTCTGAGAAAGACCATTTGTCCGTGCTGCCTGCTCCTGATGGGCAAGTAAAGGCATTTGAAGGGTTTAATTGGGAGAATGAAGGATTCTGGGGCAGGAAAAATAACTTGGTACAAAGCAGAAAGCAAATGCCTTGGAGGCATTAGAGAAGGAATCTCTAAACCAGTTTTCTAATGGAACCTGGAAGAATGTTGTCTTAACTTGGAATTCAGTGACTTAAGGCAGGTCTAGGCAGGAGGGGAAGGTGGGGAGCCACCAGGTGGGACAGGAGGGGGGCTACTAAGAATGGGAACAGGGTCAGGTTTCATCTTGCACTTTGCAGTGCACTACAGGTAAATGATGGTCTATGTTGAGTGTGAGAAAAGGTAGTTGTGATGATTAAGGAAAGGTAGTTGTGATGATTAAGGTTGTGTGTCAAACTTCCTGAGCCATAATTCCCAGTGGTTTGGCAGGTATCCAAAGACATGGCTTGGCAGTTATGTCATGATACAATTTAAGGGCTATGAAATGGTGTAATCATCTTCCGCATGGCATCTGATATAATTACCAAGCAACAGTTATAAGGAGAGTTTCCTCAGTGGTGAGACCTGGATCCAAATATATGCAGGTCTGGCAAAGCTTTCTCCATTTCTCTGGTTCTTGCACCTGGCTCATTATTATCTTGCCTGCTGATCATGGTATTACTTGGCCTCCTCAGCCAGCCTGTCAGCAGCCTGCTATCTGACCTATGAGTCAGACATGCAGCTATGTGAGGCAAGAGAAGCCTTGTTGTCTCTTGTTACACATCTTCTTCCAAATCCAGCCTGCGTTTCCTGGTGGAGGTACTAATACAACTGTTTTTGAATGATCGTCAGTATAATTTTATTTGCATGTGATAATTATATCGCTTGACAATGTTCACATTCTGTTGCATTACCTATCTTTGGCATGAGCATGAATGTGGATCTCTTCCCTTTGGTTGGTCAGGGAGCTGTCTTCCAAATTTCTTGGCCCAGACAGTGAGCCAGCACTGTATCCATTTCTTGAAACCTTTCAACTGATAAGTCTTCTAGATATGTTCCGAGAGCCTTCAATACCAATGATTCTTGATCATATACTTCTTTCTGGAATCACTGAACATTGGCCAATTCTTCTTTCTTCAGTGACTGAGTGTTCCTTCCCCCCTCTTTGGATGCTTCCTGGGTCCTTCAACAGTCCCCCCACAGAATTCTCCAGTATTTCAACTTGAGACATGACTTTTTCTTTACTTCTTTCAACTTGAGCGTTGTTTAATGTGTTCTTCCCTTTGGGTTTTCTAACTCTAGGTCTTTGCATGCATATTTCATTGTAATACTTTACTTTGCCTTCTTGAAATCCCCTTTGAAATCTACTCAGCTTATTAGCTTCATCGTCTTTTCTTTTTGCTTTACCTCCTCTACATTAAAGAGCAAGTTTCAGAGTCTTCCGACATCTGATTTGCCTTTTTATTTCCTTCCTATGTTCTGAATAACCTTTTGTTTTCTTCACGTATGCTGTCCTGGATGTCATCCCACAATTCATCTGGTCTTTGACCAATAGTTTTCATTGCAACAAATAAATTCTTGAGACAGTCTCTAATGTCAGTTGGGACAAACTCAAGGTTATACTTTGGCTCTAGTGCAGTGGTTCTCAACCTGTGGATCGCGACCCCTTTGGGGGTCAAACGACCCTTTCACGGGGGTCACCCAATTCATTACAGTAGCAAAATGACCATGATGAAGTAGCAATGAAAATAATTTTATGGGTGGGGTGGGGTGGTGACCACAACATGAGGAACTGTATTAAAGGGTTCAGCATTAGGAAGGTTGAGAACCACTGCTCTAGTGGATTTGTTTTAATAGTCATCAGCTTCAACTTCCATATGAATTTATTCCATCTGTATTCTGAAGGAATGTGTTAGACCAGGTTGACTAAAGAAACAAATCCAGAGATATTCATATGTGTGTAAGAGAGAACTTTATATCAAGAAGTAATTATGCATCAATAAAACACCCCAGTCCAGTCCAGATCAAGTCCATAGATTCGATATTAGCCAATAAGTCTGATATCATCCCATGAATTCCTCTTCAGATTCATGCAGCACATGCAATGATGCCAAATGCAGGAAGACCACAGGCTGGTTTGTGGAAAGTCCTGTGGATCCAATGGCAGTGGAAGCATCTCCAGGCCTCTGGCTGCCATCAGCATGGCTCCATGTGGCTTTTCAACAGGAATGTGA